TATATATATATAAGACTTTATTTCTATTCTAAATAGTTATTTCGTCGTTTTTCGTTTCCTAAACATGTCGGTCTCAAAAGAGGATAAGTATTCTCGGTTAGTACCAATTTCCACATGTTTATTTCAGGTAACATTTATTCAGCAGATATTTAAATTTTCTTCAATCATTCGAATGTTTTTCGAGATATTATGTATATTGTTTTCCTGGCGGAAAAAAATTTTTATGAAAAAGTACAGAAAAACTACAAGTCTCACTTATATACTGTTCGTTAATTTTTTTAAAAATATCCATACGTTTTTGATAAATTTTTGAGAGTCAGCGTTTATTATTAATTTAAAACTACATAGATTGAGCCAAAGATCTTAAAAATTCTTTTTTAATTTTTCGTAGATATTTATATAGCGGGACGTGAAATGAGGGTTGTTTATCTTAGAAATTTTTAGCTTTTCGTAGATGTTCGAAGTGGAACGTAGAGTAGCGAAGGATTATTATTTGAAGGCGAAGGATTTCTTGGTTTTTTAAATCAAATAAACAATACCACTCTACGTTCCATTAGAAATATCTATGAAAAACTAAGAATTTCTAAAGTCTATCTCAATCTATGTAATTTTTCATAAAAATTTTTCCGTTCAGGATTGACAAGTAGCAAAAGTTTCTGAATAAATTAATTAAAGTAATATAGATGAAATAATTTGTCGTAGAAGTTCGCGTTTAGTTTCGTGCTGAGGCAACTCTTGTTTCTCCAGAAAGGAACTCCGAGGCAACCGCTAAAACCACTATCGCATTATAGAGGAGAGGTTCCTTCGAGTGACGAAAGAACTTAATATCACGCATGGTGCGTGGCGCGTAACAATGACCGTCTAAGTTTTCCCATCAGTGTCAGCGAGCGGATAACCAACTCGTTTCGTTTTGTTTCCCTCGTATACGAATTTAAACCCGATCCTTCTCGCACGCGTCTGTGTTTCCCAAGAGGGAGAGTGGGCGTCGGCGGCGTCGGGACGCGAGGGGGAGGCTTCCCCCCGGATATATGCGTGTATATATAGACCGACCCCCTACCCCTCGGCCAAGGGGGCAACAAGGGAGCACGTACTATTCTCGGATAACTTTACGGATCCGAGTAAGGCCGGCTTCACACGTCCCGGTGAACACAAGTCACATATAACGTACCTGTTAATTGTAATTTCCCACTCAACGAGATATAACATACGTGTTATATTACAGTTATATTGTTGGGTGGAAAATAAGTAACAGGTACGTTACATGTAACTTTCTGTTCACTGGAATTCAGGTAAACTTGTCAAGTGTGCTTGCGCAAGCCACTTGTGCAAGTTTACTTGATCGTGTGTAGCCGGCCTAACTTCTTTCGAGACGTGTATTCGACTTCTGGTTCGCGGACGGCGTGAACATCAGTAATCGTCTGCGAACCACGCCGTGCCGATCGAGAGCGCCGTGCCGATCGATCCGATCCAAAAAGATCGTCGCCTCGTGTGCATGTAAGATTCGCGCCGGCATTCGATCTTTATTGTTCCTCCGATTACGATTAATTTTTGAACGATTGATCAACTACGAAAGTGAAAGATAGAGCAATTTATACTTCATTTTTGTTGATAACTGCGCGCGTTTCTGAGATTTTATAGTACACACACCTCACACACACACACACACACACACACACACACACACACACACACACACACACACACACACACACACACACACACACACACACACATATGTATATAATATAAATTATATACTAAAAAAGGAGTATTAATCTGAAAACGATCGTCTATTCTCGTTTCAAGATATCAAAGCAAATCCACCATATTTTTAAGACAAAATGTTTTTAAATATTAATTTGCTCTGTGTTTGAGTGAATATTTGTGAGATTGTTATTTATCGCGAGTTTTCATCGAAATAAACCTTTTGTTAAAATAAAATGACAAATTTTTGCAACAAAAAGAGAACGCGTTATCTCTTCATACTCATAAAACGTAATGCGTTTCTTAAACTTGATGAGATTTCTTTCTATATAATTGTCCACATATGTAATTAAAGCGCATAGTAAATTTTTATCAGAAAGAATTCAATTCTTTATTACAAAATTTGTCATTACATTATTATATTTTATGGGTATTATTGTGTTGAGATTTGAAGAGAGATGGGCAGTCACATAAATTAATTTTTATCAAGTTTAATTTGACGTCATTGTTAATAGCAGTAGCACTTGGCTAGGCACGAAATGTTTTTCTTCAAAACTCAACCGGCTAAACATTGATTTAAATTAAGTATGCACGTGCATTGATTATAAGTACAATATACACAAGTGATTACTTTTTATTTCTCAATTATTCTAGACAAAATAATCATGTTAGATGTAGAAGAGTGTTTTTTTTTTTACCGCGAAAGTCCAAATTCTAATACTTTACTGTTTTTGCAGTAAAATTGTCTATCTTCGAAGAAGGTTTACTTGTAATTATCTCATGTGACTGTGTGCATTACGATTCATTCGCGACTCGTTCACAATTTATTCGTCGCATTTCGCAATTCGCTGGTATATGCCTTTGGAGGGAATCAGCGCGGAGAGAGTTTTAAACGAAATAAGGGAAACCTGCGCGATTGCTCGTCGGCAGTTTTTCGTGGAGCGCTGATAGAGAGTTAGTCGATCTCGTACGAAATAAAGAATACTTTTTACTAAATGAATATGTTGGTGCGTGTGATGTGATTGTTTTCCGATTATCTCGCAATATCACGAATTTGTTGAAAAAAATAGTACTTCTGTGTTTTGTTTGTTTTTGTTCATGAATTTATACGCGCTTGTTTTATGATTCAATAACTGATATTTTGCTGATTGTTCAAAGTAAATTTTAGAAAAGTTCGTAAATATAATAAAAAAAAAACGGTGCTTATTATGAATAATACGTTAAAGCAATGTAATTATTTTAATTATTATTGAAATAATTTTTTTAATTAATTCATATGTTGAAAAATCTCGAATTAGTATTACAACAAACAATTTTATATAAATATATTAATATAAATTTATTTTATTTATTTTTATTAGAGATATGTAAGATCAATTTTTTTCATTTATTTGCATATTATTTGTATAATTTGCTACAAGAATTAATACGAATCGTACTTAATGTGAAAGAATAAATATAAAAATCTCTTAATTTGATGACAACTTGAGCAATTTATGTTCAAGTGGAGTATATCTCGAATTTCCTTCTTGACTTTCGAGTGTCGTGATAAAAAAAAAATCATATTTTAGCATCATCACGTCGTCTCGCAATAACTTTCACAGATAATTTTAGATAGTAATATACCTGTCGTATTAATATATTACATGCGTAACATTGTGAATTTCATTAATAATATAATAGATATTATTTTATTTATTTTATAATATAATGATATTTTAAAAGTAAAAATATCGGAGGAACTTTAGATAATTACATAAAAACATGATTCTTAGTCACAAAAATGTTTATTTCGTCCAGGAAATTGTTTATTGCATTACAACGTCGAGATATTAAAGTGCGAAACGTATTACGCTATATATTACCGAATTTATTATTAAGTTATACGCAAATGTATTTTGATGCGGTGTAAACTAATCCGCCTCTCTGTAAATAGATAACTTTAATCATGTTGTCCATTCATTGTTCGCAGACAACAACGTTTGCGCTTATGAGGTTCATCTTTTGGATGTAATATCAGACCTTGGAAAAAAGTCACGTATACGTGCGTGTACTAAAAATAACTTGGCATCTCGCCGTGCGCCGAGATTTGTAATTTAACATGCGTCCGATTAATTTTCTATTATGCGCGGAAAATCCGACCGATGGATCGTAGGAGACGATGATATAACTTTAAAGCAGATTTACTTTTCCCAAATGGATGTCTTAATAATCTGAACTAATTTTCTCTTATTTATCGAGATCTAAATCTGAATGCTTTCCAGTAAGAAATACATTTAAATATACTAATAATAAATATAGAAGAGCGTGCGTAAATAAAAAAAAGGTACACGGGCCATTTCCCCGGAATGTGTTGCTATTTATAATTAGGTACTTTATTTATGGATAGGCCAAACGCGTAAATCGTGTTGAGGCTGGACAGTTTGGTCGAACACGTGCGCGAATCTTTACTCAAGTGAAACTGATCGATTCCGTTCACCTTCATCGGATTGAATCAATTAATTGCGTCCAAGGAAACAAACAAATTTTAATTAATTAAAAATATAATATCGTATATTTTCTACCACCCTCCCCTCCCCCTCCCCCCCCATTTAAATTATGCATTTCTATAATCTACTCTTTAAACAGTTTTCTCCAGCTCGAAAATAATTCCAAGCTTTATTTTCCTTTTTTTATAAATAAATCATAATTGCGAGGTTTTATCGATTTCGATTTTATTTTACGCCGAAGCGCCTTATGTCACATTCGATCAATTTGGAACGTCGGCAATCTTTTTTAATCACGATATTTTATTATGCAGGTGAATCGTCGCTGTGAATCAGGACGAACGACTGAAAAGGCCCTTCAAGGAGACGACGCTATCAAGAAAAGCTTCTCGACAAACGCATCCTGAGTAATTTGAAGCGTGATCTCCGCTGGTGAACGTATATCCGACGACTCATCAGCAGAAACGGAGTTGCTCCAGCTGATCCCTTGTCAGCATCTCACACACACACACACACACACACACGCACGCACGTGCGCGCGCGCGCACGCATGCACGCACGCACGCACCCATACTAAGGAAGGTGCGTTCGATTTGCCGGCACACGTACGGCCGTGCAGGTAAGTTCACCAACGTCCACCTCTTCTTCTGCGCACGTGTGCGTGCTCGTGCTAGTGATGGTCACAATAACTCTTTCAAGCAACTTCGATGTCTGTTTTACCAATTTTCAAATAGATACATAAATGGAAAAATCAATAAATGATGGATAATAATAAAAATTATATTTGTATATATTTTATTTTTACATAAATTCTTAAGTAAATGCAAATATGTTTAAATTTTTGTGGATTATTTATCTAAAAAAGAATTGAAGGACTCAATTAAGACTGCTATTCATAGTTTAATAAAATCGATTACTTACGTGAAATAACATTAAACAGTTTTCTCTAAAACGTTCGGTAAACGATTAAAACAATGTTTCTCTGACTGTATAATAATGTTATATAACAAATAAATAAATAGAATTTTGTTGTTGTACTTACATAAACTAGCAGGTCTATCATCTGTTATAAATTTTATTTATATTGTTGCTTATTTTAATTTTCCAAAAATAATGAATCAACATGTTTTTGAATTAATTTAATTAGCAATAATAATGAAATTAAGTTAAAAACTAATGAGTTATAAAATTTCATTTGAATATTCATTGCAGAATAAATTCAACAATCTAAATTAAATTCGAACGTGAATCCGAATATCAGTTGATATATCAACAAATAAATCAGATAATAATAAATTGATTTTATTTATTGTAATTTTGACATCAAAGATTTTGATATCAAAATAACAACGAATAATCTCAAGCGATATCTAATGGAATTTTAAAGTGTAAAACTTAAATTTTAAACCTTAGATCTGGTCTACAATAAGCGGAGTAAACTTTGTGAAAAAAATGAGAGTAAAAAATTGACCATTCACAGCTGATTATTCTTCTCACATGGCATTTAACTGTAGTCAAGTTCTCATTTATTCTCAATTTCTTACTTATTAAGCTTATACCTACTGCACATCGGACGCGATGAGCTATGAGTGACGAGCGATATCCAATTAGCTCTGCTTTGCATCGTTACGTGACAAAAAGCAGAGGTTTCATTGGATATCGCTCATTGCTCATTGCGTTCAGTATGTAGTAGGCTTAAAGTTTAAATCGCTTTAAAATTTCACTGTATAGATGCCGCTTGACTTTCCGCTTCGGAAAGTCAATTCCACATGGTATAAAATATTCCATTCCTAAGAAATACATTCTCAAGGAAAGTTTAAAAGGCACGTGTATTCATATATTTCAATATACGATTACACGTGTATTGAAATTTACGGGTGCACATGTAACGTATTGATATTTTTATTTAGTATAATTATTAGTGTACAACAAGATATCTGCATACTTAAGAACATTTACGACGTAAATTTCGATGCACGTATTTCAGTACTTGTGTATTAAAAATTATATGGATTAAAACACGGAAATATTAATTACACGTGCACTCAAAAAAGTGTTTAATTTTGAGATATTTAAGTGTGTCATTCTTATCTTTATTTTTTAAACACTTAAATGTTTTTAGTATGAAACTTTTTTAATAAACAAAACACTATGTATTTCGAATTTAAAACTTTTTAATTAAAAAATTTTCAATCCAAACATATAGTATTTTGTTTGTTGAAAAAGTTTAAAACTGAAATGTCTTTAAGTGCTTTAAAACAATGAAAACAATAATTAAAATATTTTATTTAAAAATTAAACACTTCTGTTTTCAGTATTCACGAATATTTCCAATACACGTTCAAAGTCTTGATTTCTAGTTTGTGCCCATCGCTACTTCTCGAGTCACCAACACAGCTACATTTTGTCTACGTCACCGATAGCACTCGTAACTACCAACACCTTGTGATCCTTAGGCACTAACACAGGGGCGCGCACCCCACCACCCTTATCCGTGAGAGCGTAGCAGCGGACCAGCCGATAAAATGAATGAGAATGATAAGTCAGTTAAGTGCGAGAACTCCGCCGGCGAGGAGGAGGAGGACGAGATGTTCGAGCGCGAGCTGGCCGAGGACGCGCAGTGGAAGCGAATTCAACAGAACACCTTCACGAGATGGGCGAACGAGCGGTTGAAGGTGGCAAACAAGCACATCGGCGACCTGGAATGCGATCTGTCTGACGGTCTCCAGCTGGTGAGTCTCATCGAGGTGCTCTCGCAAAAGCGGCTGCCGAAACACAACCAGCGGCCCACCTTTCGTTCTCAGAAGCTGGAGAACGTGTCCGTCGCTCTTAAATTTTTGGAGGACGAAGGCATCAGGCTCGTTAATATCGGTGAGTAATCCCATGTGCATAGTGGATCCTACACGTCGTAGAATAGATTCGTCCTGTCTTCGTAGGAAGAATCCAATTGATTGATCGTGAATAGTGCAATGAAATGCCGATGCAGTATATTTGTTAGTAGGACAAATAATTAATTTAGGAAATGACAACGTTTTATTTTCTTAATTATTCTAAAAAATATCTATAAATGATTAAATTGTGATAATTGCAGTGCCGTATGTAGTTCTGTTCTTTTTATTAAAGATCAGAAAGGCGGTAATTTAAAAAAATAATAATTGCCACGTTAATTTCTACCACATACATTATCAGATAAAATAATTTTAATAATCATTAAAACAATCGTTGTCTATTAAAATACTTACTTGCTATGATTATGCCATATTCAATTTCGATCAATTAATACATAAAATACATAGAAACAGTAGATATATTATTCCTTAAACAGATAGTTTAGAGAATAATATATCTCTATTTATGTAATATTCGACAAAAATTTATTCTAATGAATAAATTCCAAAAACTTATTTTAACAAGTACTTTCCAGTTTTCAGTCGATTTTCGGACTTTTTAATTATAATGTTCAGATTTTTACATTACGAGTCTCTCGGTACGTTACACCACCACGTGGTAGTTACGATTATCGCGAGTGACGTGAACAGAGTCTGCGTCGTTTCACGGATTCTGCGTAGATTGGACTTATCGATCCGTAGATTTTTGCACGTCAAGAATTCATAGTTTTTTAAAGAATTCAAGAGAATTTGCGTGAAAATAATTATATTCGATCAATAAAAATTGATCGAATTAATACGTAAAATTATACTTGTAATAAAGTTAAAATTTAAACGCTGCGATTTTATTTTGAGTTTATTTACGTACACAAGCAGTACGTTATAGATGTAAACAGTAGAAACGATACTTTCTTCTCCTTACATACACATAAGGTAAACGTTCCAATAATCGGGAATAAACCTATGTCCGGACATTTTTTTTAACTTTGTTAATATTTATATGATTATTAATCTCAAATGCTTTTTAAAATAATTTTTAAGTACAATTAAATTATAATACATTGTAATAGAAAATAACATTTGAAATTAATAATAATAAGTCTTATATATGAGTGTCCTGACATAGTTACGTGTCCAGTCACCTTATATAAGAAATATTGTTCTAAATTTTTATTTAAAATAATTATGTATAAATAGTGTTTTAATATATATTATAGTAGTGATGAATTTATTAATAATTGAATATCTCAATGTTAATTTTTATGTCATCCATTTATTTCAATTTAATAATATGTCATGCTTTTCGCTTAAGAGAAATATTATTTAAATTAGTAGATACAGTACAAATGATGTTATAAAAATAATTAGAAACTATGACGGTTAAATGTAAAAGTAAACGTAATTATCCATTATTTGTGGAAAATTGATAAATTTAGTGAGTAGAAAACTGTATACGTACTTATGTGTGTGAAGGGAAAAAAATTGCATCTAAAATTGAAATATTGATTCTGGAAGAAAAATTACACGCGGTGCGTAATATACATAATCTTGAAAAAAATCTTAAAGAATGCTTCAGTAATCTTTAGTTTATTTATTTTCATGAGACGATTTAAGTTTTTTAGTTACGATCTTTCGCTTATTACGAAGTTTATTATAATTATATTATAAATATAGTATGCAATTTTAGTTTTAAATGAATTAAAATTAACACAATTGCTAAGCGAAATCTGTAATATCAATTTCAAGTATGTGCTTATTTGCACGATAAAGAATGTAGTCGAAAGCTAAAAACAGTGATTCGTCGGCATAATTTGAGAACATGCGTCGTCAAATAATTAATCGTGCGTTTTACTTACACGTAGAGATTGATATAGATCTAATCTATAATGCGTAAAAAGAGTACTTGCAGTGTGATATCAATTAAGATTTGATCAAGATTTGAACGTTCGATCGCGATTACAAAGTCGAGAAATAATTTGACGCATAGTTACTCTAATTCTTCTATGTATATTAAATAATTATTTAATTTCGCTGCTTTAAAGACAGATTTGAACTTCTATTAATACTATGACAATTAGAGAACAAACAATTTTGACATGTAGTGAAATCTCGTGGTAAAATATTTCTTTATCACTATATGGAACGTGCGCAGCTGAATAATATGTAGAATATTTCTGCATTCCTCTGTGTGTGTGTGTGTGTGTGTGTGTGTGTGTGTGTGTGTGTGTGCTTTCGAATTCGGGATCAACATTTTAGAACGTGGGTTGCATCGAGCAAAATAAAAGCAATCGTAGAGCATAGCGAGAGGGTTGTGGATCGATGACGCTCGCTCGGGCTACCCCGGAAAACCAGAGAGTAGCGATGGGATAATGCTGTTCACGTACTTTTTGCGGGTGAACAAACTAACGTTACATCATCGGTCGTTAAATCCTGTTCATCTAAATCTGATTAAAAGTTTTGCTACAATATAAGACGCAAATTAAATAAATCGATGCAGACATTTAATATAAGGCATCTTTCTCATGTCATATCAATATTTATTCATTCCTTTTAAGGGATATAGAACAAATTTTTTTCTAAACAAGAACATTACAACATTGATATTCTTTAAGGTCTAATTATTTACAAATTTTGTAAGTTTTAGAAATGCAATTTTAAGACAATGGATTCTATTTTAATACATTTTATTTAACGAAATTCTAATTTGTAAAATTGAAATAAAAAATATCTAAAATTGAATGTCAAAAATATATGAGAGGGAAAATTAGTTTTCAAAATTTTCGATGAAATTCAATTTGGTTTATTGAGTTTGCAGTATCAGGGTCCGATCACGTGTACATCTCTAATCACTTGTTAAGCCTTGTTCGAGTTCTTGGATCGAGAATGTGTAGCCAATCAACTTGCCGGTTTTCTGTACAAACTGTAAGTTTGATTGGCTACACATGATTATAGACACAAAGTTTAAGAGAAGAATCTAGAAAGCCAATAGTGTCGACTGACATTTCAGTTGTGAAAGAACCTTCATTTTTAGTTTGTGAATAAAGCATCAAATATTGTGAAATAAGCGATTGCTTTTGCAAAACGTCAACATTGTATAATTTTGTATTTTGAGGTCTTATATACTATATTTGTATTGGAAGATTGACGATTTTTGATTACTTACTCGATGATATTATAATATTATACAGTTTGTCGCATCCTTGAACAAGATATTCGACTGGTTAGTGACGCAATTGAATATATCATCGGTGATGTCACTATGTTGTCCAATATGCAATTGGTATATCGCAAGAGTAAAACGTGCTGATGAATATATGTAATGTATAAATGCATAAACATGTTTCGTGACAAAGATTTTCAAAAACAATCTTTTTCTACAGATTTGAAAAATCGTTCATTTATTCGTTACTCCAATTTATTGACTTTGATAGATGTATAAGCAGAAAGTAAAAGCATAGATATCATTTATGAATTTGCGATGTATGGCATTGTATTTATCTCTAAAAATGTGTAAAAATTGTTTCACTTTTTTATTCGTAATTTATTAAATTGTTAATTTTATATCAACATACACTTCTCGATATACACATACAAGCCTTAAAAATACGAACTATTTATATTTCACAGAGTAACATTTATTTACCAAATGAATGTTTTTAAAATATGAAAAAAAGTTCTTTTTTTATAAAAAGATAAGATTAAGTGGTTAAAAATCAATTTTGATAAAACTTGAAGTTTAGAGATTTTTAATTCTCACCATCATAAATAAATAAATAAATAAATAAATAAATAAATAAATAAATAAATAAATAAATAAATAAATAAATAAATAAATAAATAAATAAATAAATAAATAAATAAATAAATAAATAAATAAATAAATAAATAAATAAATAAATAAATAAATAAATAAATAAATAAATAAATAAATAAATAAATAAATAAATAAATAAATAAATAAATAAATAAATAAATAAATAAATAAATAAATAAATAAATAAATAAATAAATAAATAAATAAATAAATAAATAAATAAATAAATAAATAAATAAATAAATAAATAAATAAATAAATAAATAAATAAATAAATAAATAAATAAATAAATAAATAAATAAATAAATAAATAAATAAATAAATAAATAAATAAATAAATAAATAAATAAATAAATAAATAAATAAATAAATAAATAAATAAATAAATAAATAAATAAATAAATAAATAAATAAATAAATAAATAAATAAATAAATAAATAAATAAATAAATAAATAAATAAATAAATAAATAAATAAATAAATAAATAAATAAATAAATAAATAAATAAATAAATAAATAAATAAATAAATAAATAAATAAATAAATAAATAAATAAATAAATAAATAAATAAATAAATAAATAAATAAATAAATAAATAAATAAATAAATAAATAAATAAATAAATAAATAAATAAATAAATAAATAAATAAATAAATAAATAAATAAATAAATAAATAAATAAATAAATATATATATATATATATTTATACGACGAAAACTTCCAATAGATAAGCAGAAAGATGAATTGATCAGCGTTTAAATACTCCATCCATTACTTCATCCGTTCCTTCAATTCAGAATTCTCATCTTACACTAATGGAACCTGAACGTCAAGCATGCATGGTGACAGTTTTCTTGCTCACAGTACTTGAGACCTTTGCAAAAAGTTTGTATCATTAGTCAGAAGACTAGTATGTCTGATTTTCAACCGTCGCAATCTCGGTCAAGACCTAATCGCAGAACTGCGGTATTAAAGCCGGCTGGTTATCGAATATCAACGGAAGCCACGCTTGTGCTATTATATGCGAGAGGCACCGTGAAACAGGCTCGGGACGTGTCTCGTGGGGCCCACCGAGGAGCAAAAGAAGAAAAGTAGGCGGGACCACGTAGATCGGGTGAAGGTCAAACTCGCCTTGGTACCTCGGATTTCTTTCTTCGTGTTTA